GAGCAGGCCTAAGCCAGCAGGTCGTTATCTCCCGAGGGGTCCCAGACTGCGAGAGGGCACAGGCTGGGCTGAGGGACCCCCCCTCCCCCCTGAGTGCACAAATTTTTGTGCACCGGGCCTCTAGTATAATAATAATGTAGTATGAACTACTCTGAATAAATTTATATACATTGTTTGTAGTCAGAAAACAAATGTTGACCAAATTGTAGCAATTGTGATTTGAAAATATTAGAACTTCTCTATAACCCCAAAGATAACCATTATTTTAACTTTAATTTAATCCCCAACTACTTTATTTTATCGTTATATTATGGTTAATTTTATCTATTTTTGAATTTTATAGATTCTGTATAGTATATCTTCTTTTATGTCTGTCTTTTTGTTCAATATTGGGTGGAGTTCATTCACTTTTATTGTTGTATATTATACTTCATTGTCTGACTATACTTCATTTTATCCATTCTGCTGAATTTTGGGTTGCTTCAGTTTGGGTTTCTTGCAAATAATATTGCAATGAATATTCTTGTACGTGTATTCTATTGCATAAGTGTGGGCATTTCTGTAATGAAATACTAGGCATGAAATTACTACACCATAAGTTATGTTTTTCTAAGATTTTAATTGATAATGGTATTTTCCAAGTGTTGCACCAATTTGTTATATCTACTAGCAGATTCTGAAAAATTTTACTGCTCCTCATCAACACTTGGTATGTTGGTATTTCTCATCTTAGGCACTTTTGTATGTACGTTAAGGTATATCATTGTGGGTTTATGTTTTCGTAATTACTGATGAGATGTTAAGTACTTTCTCATGATTATTGACCATAAGGGTTTTTTTAGTAAATTGCCTCTTCAATTCTCTGCCCATTTTAAAAATGAGTTGTCTGTTTTTTTCTTATTTATTTGTAGAAGTTCTTATATATGCTATTTTGGAGCCTTTGGTTGGTTATACATATTGAAGATGTCTTGCTGTAGTTTTTGAGGAACAGATCATTTTCCTAAATTTAATTTAATTTAATTTAATTTAATTTAATTCATCACCATTTATTCCCTCTATGCCCTCTTCCACCTTCCCCACCCCCCACAATCACCACACTGTTGTCCATGTCTGTGAGTTCGCTCTCTCTTTTTTTTCTTTTTTGCTCAATACCTCTCCCCCCACCCCAACAATTCCCCTTCCCACCAGACCTGTCTGCTTGGTCTCTATAAGTCAAGGAAGAGAACATCTTAATTCTAATGTCATCAGTATTAGAAAATAAAATAATCCAGTTAGAAAATGGGCAAACAATAAGAACAGACATTTCACCAAAAAAGATAAATGGATGACAAGCATATATATATGTATGCATATGTACTTGTATGTATGTGTGTGTATATATGTATATATATGTATGTGTATATATAAAGATGTTCAACATTATTAACAATTAGGGGAATGCAGATTAAGACCCTGATGGATCCTCACTGTGTGGCTTAGTTGGTTGGAGCATTGTCCCATACACCAAAAAGTTGTGGGTTTGATTCCTGGTCAGGTCATATACCTAGGTTACAGGTTGGCTCTCAGGACATGGCTGGTACTGGAGGAAACCATTCTCAATGTTTAATGTTTCCCTCTCATATCTCTCTCTCTCTCTCTCTCTCTCTCTCTCTCTCTCTCTCTCTTCCTCTCTTTAAAACCAATAAAACAAGTACCCATCAGTACATGAGTGATAAAAAAAGCTGTGGTACATTTACACCGTAGAATACTATGCAGCAGTAAAAAAGAAGTATCTCTTACCCTTTGAGACAGCATGAAGGGACCTGGAGAATATTATGCTAAGTGGGTGCGGGGCTAGAAGGGGTTCATGGGAAAAAATGGGCGACATCTGTAATACTTTCAACAATAAGGATTTTTTAAAAATAAAATCAATAAAGCATGTTCTCAGATGAGGACACACATCTACTAGAATAGTTAAAATAAAAAATAGTGAATATACCAAATACTTGCAAGGATGTAGTGAAACTGGATCTCTCATACATTTCTGTGTGACTATAAAGTGGTACAGCACTCTGAGAAACAGTGGGCAGTTTCTTCAAAACAGTAATCATATACTTATCATACAAACCAGCCATCTCCACTTGAGACTTATTCCACAAAAATGAAAGTTTATGTTTACAAAAAAAAACCTATACATGAATGATCATAACAGTTTTATTTGTAAAAGGCAAAAGCTGGCAACAACTAAAACTTTCTTCATTAGCTGAATTGTTAAACTGTGATACATCTATTCCGTGGAATACTGCTCAGCACTAGAAAGTACAAATTGTTGTTACACAATGTCTTAGCTTTGTTACCTCAAATTTATCAGTTTGAGTTTGGTCTTAGGCTTTTTTTTTTCCTGTCTGTGTTGCTATTTAACTAGAATTTCAAGGTCACAAGGGATTATCAGTTGTTCTGTATTTTGTTGTTTCTTGATTCCTGCTTTACTTCATTTTTGGCCTTAGAATTTCTCTTATTATTTACCATATTGCAAAGATACTTCAACTGTGTTTGTTTCAAAGTATGAAATTTTTTCTGAAGTCCTTTTTTATTTTAGTTCTAGTTAATTTAATAATAAGTCTAGTGACTAATATTTAAATTTGGTAATAATGTTTTGGATCTTTTTATAGTGCTCAATAATAGCACTTAAATATTAATTGAATCTTAGTAAAGCACTGAAACTTTTAAAAAATACATTTTATACACTGTTGATGAGGACAAGTTCAAATAAGACATTTCAAAAATATTTTGAGAAATGACATATAGTTTAAAGGAAAATGATTACTTCAAAGGAAACTAACCCTTAGATAGGGGTTTTTGGTATTTGTGTTAACAAATCAGTTTTATTACTTTAGAACCATTCCTTGTATATAATATAATATAATTTATGTATTCATCAATATAGGGCTCATTGTCAAAGTAACATTGGGCCAAATTTACTTTTTCTTTTAATTTTTACTATAATTATTTATTTGTTCCTGAGTTGGATCTTTGAAAAATGATTGTTTTTAAAGAAGTAGTTTAGATTAGTCTAGATCCATGGTTGGCAAACTGCGGCTGGCGAGCCACATGCAGCTAGCTCTTTGGTCCCTTGAGTGTGGCTCTTCCTAAGCCTTAGGAGTACCCCAATTAAGTTAATAACAATGTACCTACCTATATAGTTTAAGTTTAAAAAATTTGGCTCTCAAACAAAATTTCAATCGTTGTACTGTTGATATTCGGCTCTGTTGACTAATGAGTTTGCCGACCTCTGGTCTAGAGTAATATTGCTCCTTTCCCTAGCCAATAAAGTCTTAAACAAGACCACATATTTTATTATTAGGATTTATAATATTTGAAACAGTCTATTTAAAATTTTGCTTTGGGGAAGCTTTTTTAAACTGATGAAATATTTTGGAACAAAAGTCAACATAGCTTTATTTTATTTAACTTTAGTGTATTGAAATGTCATGAGGAAAACATGCAGCTTCAAGAAAACTTGCTTTATGATCATCAACATTATTTTAGCTTCATTTGCCAGAAGGAGTTCATCAGTCAGAAAACAGTATTTGAGAAAAGGAACCTAGATTCCCTTAAATATTTTATTTTTGTTGCTTTTACTGTATTTCCCCCTAGGTTTACAAATGGTCCCTAGGTTAAATTACTAGTACTACTTTGTGGTTGACTTTTGTATTTGTATCTTCTGCCCTCTAGGGCAGTTTTAGTGTACACATTATGTTCATTTATGAGTTCTGGTGTCAATTATAGAATTTTATTGTCTAGGCTTTTAACTGCATAAACAAATATATTTTCAAGTAAAGAAATATTATTTATCATGTTAGCTCACTTGATATTTTTGAGTAACAATCTAATTTTTATGAAACCTTCAAATTTAGGATTATTTTCATTACAAGAATGCCAAAAGGCCAACTTTTCAAAAGAAGAATGGTAATATTCAAAAGAGTTCACATACAACAGGTCCTACCAGAGGTAAGAATGCATATGTAATTAATAGTGTCTTTGTGATTTAATGTGATTTAAAAATATTATGAAAAACATTATTTATATAACAGTTATATTTTCTCAGTTTACAGAGAAAAATTAAAAAGTATATCTGCCCAGAAATCAAGTAGCAATGTTATTTTATTACGAGAAAGAATTATATCCTTGCAGCAACAAAACAGTGTACTTCAGAATGCCAAAAAAACAGCAGAATTGTCTATTAAAGAATATAAAGAAGTCAATGAAAAGCTCCTTCACCAGCAGCAAGTATCTGATCAACGATTTCAGACAAGCAGACAGACAATAAAGGTAAAAGGAAATAAATTATAATAGACTATATTCTAAAAGTATATATTTCCTTTTACATGTTTTGTTTGGTTCATATTTGTGTTAGACATATCTATGAGTTAAAAAAATTTTCTAGGCACTACTAACTAATATAATTAGTTTAATACCTAGATTTCTTTAATAAATTCATATTAAGGAACAACCTTTATCAGGAAGACAACTCCAAATAAAAAAGACAAATATTTTACTAGCATTCCTTTTGACATCTATCATTTTTATATATTTTTTGCATTATACCTTAGATTTTAAATGCAGGCTATATAAATGCATATAGCTTGCCCATTTGCCCATGTATAAAAGTTTGAATTTATCATTATAAATTACATTGTTAACTGACAATTGCCTCAGTTCCTGTTTTCAAATACTAGTTTAAAATGTGAAGGTTTTAATATAAATATCTATATTAATATGTTCCTATAACTTATTTGTGATTCTTTTATTTAGGTGAATTGAGTTTTCTGTAACAATTTTTAGATATATTATACATTATTGCTGGTTATCATATTTAATCTTAGAGTAAATGAAAAAGAAAAGATTGTTTCTTAAGTCTCCATTCCTAAAGGCATTTGTTTGTATAAGGAATGAATTTTGGAAATTTGTTGTTTTAGAAGGATTCTTTCACACATTTTAGAAAATAATTTTTAAATCACAATCACAAAATGTTTAAATTATACTTAGATTCTCTACTTCTAACATCTAATGCTTTAATTCAAGCAATACTCAGAAATGTTTTAACTATAAAGGACTTAATATTATACTTGTATACCAATAACAGGTGTTTTGGCTTTATTTCAAAGTAGCCGTATATCCTAACTTGATCTATGTTCTTTATATATATGTTGGTTAATAATGACATTCAATTAATCCATATCCTTGCTGATTTTCTATCATCTATTATTGAAAGTGAAGTATTGAAATCACCCATTATTTCTTGTAATAACTTCAGTGAGACATAATTTACATACCATACAATTCTCTCAGTTAATTCAGCGGTTATTACAATACTGAAAAATTTGTGTGACAATCACCAAAATCAATTTTGAACATTTTTATAACTTCAAATATAGACCCTGTACCCATTAGCTATCATTCTTCCATTCCACCATCTCTCCTAGCCCTGAGCAACCACTAATCTATATTCTGTCTATGTGGTTTTACCTAGTCTAGATATTTCATATACATGGAGTCATGCAATACGTGACTTTTGTGTCTGGCTTCATTCATTTAGCATTATATTTTCAAAGTTTTCCATGTTGTAGAATGTAGGAATTTGAAAATGTACTCCTCCATAAAAGCAATAAAAACAGGCAAAAATAGAGTCAACATTTTCATAGCATTGGGTATAGAATCTAGTCTTCTAAGTGTTGATGTAATATTTAAGGCAATTAATTGATGACTCGAAGTTACAAGTTTCTAAGACATGGATTTCTTATAAAATGATTGAAGATCAAATAAAAGTATTTTACATGAAAACGATAAAGCATTTTATTGAGACTTTGTGAACGTTGAGGAACACTTACATTCCTCTCTGAAACTGGAAATGATCCAAGAACTTGCAACAATCTAGGGAGAGTTTATTAAAAACAGACAAATAAACAAACAAAAACTCAACTACAAACAGGAAACTTTGTGGCATTTTAATTTGCCTTAGTTCCATCCCCACTCTCCCAGCTCAGTAGCAGCCTGGCAACTTCCAAAAGAAGCCTATTGGAGCTGGAGCACTTTCAAAGCTCTGTTCCCAAATAATTGTCATCTTTTGACCTGTCTGATGGTTCCTTAATAGACCCCTGTAAAGAGATGACTGGGATTGCTTTCAGTGTGAACCATCTTTTTCCTGGGGGAGAAGAGGGAGCAGTGGGGAGGACATGGTGTTATCAAAAACTATTATAGGCAATTGTTTAAACTCTAGTTGGCCTGAGAGGATGGATTCTAGTTTAGGTCAAGCAATATATTAACTAAATGGCTTAAAAGGAAAAGCTGTGGAATGAGATATTCATAAGAGTTTTGAATGGCTCTGACACGTTCCTGGGAATCTGGAGGACACATGCCCATTAGTTAAGGAATGGGTAAATAAATTCTGATCTATGCCTACAAGGGAATATTGTGAAAACACAAGAGAATAATGAAGTATTGATATATGTTACAATATGGATGAACATTAAAAACATTAAATCTAATGAAAGAAGCAAGTCACAAAAGAGTACATATTATGTGATTCTATTTATGTGAAATATCCAGAATAGACACAGAAAGAGAGAGAAAGTAGATTACTAAATGCTATGGACTGGGAGGGATAGAGGAGTATAGGAGTTATTGCTAAAGGGTACAGGTTTCTTTTTAAAGTGATGAAAATGTTCTGAAATTGACTATGGTCATATTTGAATATATTTGTGAATATAGTAAAAACATTGACTTGTATACGTTAAATGAGTGAATAGTGTGGAATGTGAATTTATATCTCAGTAAAACATTTTTTAAATATTGGTTTTAAGTAGGAAAACAAAAGACAAGCAGTAGTACTATATGAATTTTGCTGATAATTCATCAGTAACAATAATGTAATAAAAATTATTATTAAAATTAATAAAGCCTACTGCTGAGATAAAAGTTTATTAGGTAAATGTTATGGTGAATTGTAAGAGCCATGTAACATTTTTAGGTATGTAAGTAATATATGATTACATGAAACATTTCAATTATTATTAAACTTGACAAAGTAAGTATGTTTAAGGTTAATTGTCTTAAAGTTAGTTTCTAATTAAAACAATGTATGTTCTTTTCCTTACATATTCAATTCTCTATTGCAAAAATGAATAGGGAATATATTAAAGCTAACAGTATTGACTACCTTTTCCACTTTGAATGCTCAGTTCTTTAACTTAAGAGAGTTACTCATATTTCATCTGAAACATTTGGAAAATGAGTCCTAATCTTAAGAATAGCAAGATGAAAGGTCAACCTTTTTTGTTCCAATAATACTACTTAAGTGTATTATGACCATGGAAACTCCTTTATAGTCACATCTGTGTCACCATACAGATGTAAACAGCATTGACTCACAGAGGCAAACTAACAGAATCCATATTAAAAGGGAAAATAAATGTGCCCATAAGTGCACATTTTAGAATTTCTTTTGAATGTTTTATTTTAAGTAGCAAGTAATTATATATATATATCAACTGATAGATAACAAATGTAAATATTTGTGAAATTTTACATACTGTAATACTTCTTCTCTAAAAAGCTCTCTCCTGAAATACTGTGTTTAGAAAAACAGAATAATCCTTATGATTCATTTATATGAGCTGTGTTATTCTCTGTGTTTATTTAAATAACAAAATGGATTTCAAGAGATGTATTATCGTTATAGATTGACTTATCCCCACCCCAATCATATATTGAAGTCTCAGTCCCCAGTGTTATAGCATTTGGAGAGGGGTTTGTGGGGAGGTGGTTAGGTTTAGGTGAGGTTATAAGGAAGGGGGTCCTCATGATGGGCTTTGTGCCCTTACAGCGGTTCTCAACCTGTGGGTCGCGAACAATGAAAATACATCCTGCATATCAGATATTTACATTACGATTCATAACAGTAGCAAATTACAGTTATGAAGTAGCAACGAAAATAATTTTATGGTTGGGGGTCACCACAACATGAGGGACTGTATTAAAGGGTCGCGGCATTAGGAAGGTTGAGAACCACTGCATAAGATGAGAAGAGACACCAGAGCTCTCTCTCTCTTCACCATGGGGGGACAGAGTGAGAAAGTAACTGTCTGCAAGCCAGAAAGAGAACTCTCATCAGAATTGGACCATGCTGGCATTGTGATCTCATAGTTCCTGTCTCCAGAATTGTAAGAAATTATTATGTTTTTTAAAGCACCCCGGCACATGAAATTCGTGCATTGGTGCAGTCCCTAGACCTAGCCTGCAATCAGGGCCATCTTCCCTGGCTACCAGCAGCTTGCCCTCCCCCCCCACCCGGGTTCCCAGTTTGCCATCAGGCAATTGGAGCCTGACGGCCAGGGTGAGGGACCAAGAGGTCGGCCATTCCACCCACTCGCCAGCCCCAGCCCCGCCGTGGGTCACCCTCTGTGTGTGGGGTGACCGGCGGGGCGGGAGCTTTGGTCTGGCACCACCCGCATCCCCTGCCATCCACCCCCGGGTCCCCATTCGCCATCGGGTGATCAGAGCCTGCCAGCCAGGGGGAGGGACCAAGAGGTCAGCATTCTGCCCGCTTGCCAGTCCCAACCCCTGCCACGACCTACCCCGGTTCCCAGTTTGCCATCAGGAGATTGGAGCCTGATGGCTGGGGAAAGGGACCAAGAGGTGGTCAATGCACCTCATAGTGACTGGTTGAGTGGTCATTCTGGTCGTTCTGCTGTTTTGGTCGCTGGGCTTTTTATTATATAGGACTAGAGGCCCAGTGCACGAAATTTGTGCACAGGGAGGGGGGGGGGTCCCTCTGCCCAGCCTGCACCCTCTCCAATCTGGGACCCTTTGGGGGATGTCCGACTGCCAGTTTAGGCCCAATCCCTGTGGGCAATCCGGGACCACTGGCTCCTAACCGCTCACCTGCCTGCCTGCCTGATTGCCCCTAACCCCTCTGCCTACCCGCCTGATCACCCCTAACTGCTTTCCTCTGCTGGCCTGATCGCCCCTACCTGCTATCCCCTGCTGGCCTGATCGCCTCTAACTGCCTCTGCTATGGCCCCCGCCACCGTGGCTTTGTCCAGAAGGACATCCGGAAGACGTCCGGTCTAATTAGCATATTACCCTTTTATTAGTATAGATTATAGCAACCTGAATAGATTAATACAGATTTTAGTATTGGGAGTTGGATGGCATTTTAACATACCTAAAATTTGGAAGCAACTTTGGATAATGGGTAGATTCTGGAAGAGTTTTGAATTGCATACTGGAGATTTGGACATTAAGGGCATTCTGGAGAGGTCTCAGGTGTA